CGTGCCGGTGCCTCACCTATTTACAGCGTTTCATGGGATTTGGTGAAGCAGTTTCAGCGTTTGCTGGACAAAGCCAGACTGCTGCGCTGCTGCTTTAAACTTTGCAGTAAGTTTAGTCCAAAATGTGTCCGAAGCAAACAGCTGCTGGGTTGATTCAGAAATAAGTGAGGGAAGCTATGTGATTGTTCACGGCGTATTCAGTTTAAGCGTGGTGGTGGTGGTGGTTTACGTGAACACCACCGTGTATTCCACAGTTAAGAATCTCTAAATAAAAAAGTTTAGGCAACAGCTTCTTTTTCTGAACTGAACGTGGCTTGATTTGCATTGAGGGGAGGAAAAGATGTCGTGAGCACAGAATGATAGGGCTTAAGAATTTGGTTTTACAGTGTTGAACTCGAAGAGGAACTGTTCAGGCTCGTTGGAGCTGTGAGCAGCCAAGCTCGTCCAAGGCCGTGTGCGGTGGAGAGGAGCTGAGGCTGCGAGGCGGAGGTGGCCCCTCCGAGCCGCGTGTGAGGCAGCTTCTGGAACCCGCAGCAGGGACATGGAGCTCAGGTTGTGGATGGGGCTGCTCGAAGGGAGCTTAAAGCGAATCAGGAGCCTGCAAAACCAGGCAGCACCTGGGTGTTCAGTGAATTCTTTCAAAGCACAAAGTTGACTTAGGTTGTTATTTTGGTCTCCTTTCTTTTCCACTGATAGTGTTGCAAATTAGTGCCTGTGATCTTCATTCAGGAAGCATCAATAATGTTTAATTTTGAGTTCCTGAGGGCAGTCTGGACTTTCTGAAGGTGCCTTTTCACTGCCAGGACAGGGAACTTGAGCTCTTCACCAGGTGTTCTGAAACGCTGTGCTCAGATGCTTAGGAGCAGCTTTTATTTCAGGATCTTTGGGATTACCTGAAAAATAAGGTACAGAACAGGATTGCATTGGAAGTCCTGAAGTTTTTGGGAGGGTTTGCTGACTTGCTTTAGCTATCAGCATTGTATTTTAGGTTTAACTGAAGTGTGCACATGGTGATTGAGAATTGATGCCTCCTCAGTACGCACAGTGAAATTCTGTTGCCCTTTAATATCTTTTAGCTCAAAGAACTTGCTGCAGAAAGTTTGTCGTGCGTTCATGTTTGGTGTAGGTCTTGTTTTTCACTCACAGCCAGGCCCAGCCTGCTGTTGACAATCAATAATTAAGATGCATTGGGAATATTATTAAATACATTGTGAATAAAGTAGTAAAAATGGCTTGCTCTGTCTGCTTTGGGATTTGGTCAATGGGGTACGTGTTCCTAATTAAACATATTAGGAATTTATTGGGAAAATGGAAATCTCTGCATTTCAGATGGGTGAAACGCTGCCCTAATTGTTGCCTGCGATGTTTCCTAGCTAGAAAACCAGGACTGTGTGAAGCAGTGAGTATCGTGGGCCCTCTCTTTTAGCAGGTGAGGCTCCCTGTTGTCCCTGTCCATGCAGAAGTGATGGACATTATGCACACAGATGATGGTGGTGCTGTCTTCGTACCACACAACTCTGCCTTTGCGCTACCCAGAGATAAAGGAGGTGCCCCTGGTTCTGGGGTGCTTTTCTGGCTAATGAAAAAAACATGCTGCGTTGGGTGGAAGCAACTCTCTTGTAACCATTAAAGTTAATGTGTGTTTGGAGAAGTTCAGGGCACTGAGCTGTCGTTAGGTGATATCCTGCAGTCTCTTTTGGTTTGTTTCACAGCCTGGGTGAGCTTGGAAAAGGTGACAGGTAACGATGCTGCTGTGTGTTTGCTGCAGATGCGCATTTCCCTACCTGTCCTATCCCCCAGCCAGCACAAAGCTGCTCTTTGCCAACCTCCCATGGGTTTGCTGACCTTCCGGTTTTTTTTTTTTTCTTTCTGCTTACATTTCCACTTCTGGAAAATGTTTAGATTCTCTCCTCACAAGTTTTATTAAATTCTCTTCTAGATTTTTCATTTAGGTTCCCTTTTAAAGACTCAGTCTGCACAGGGAAATCTATCACCAGCTCTGTTGCAGGGTAATTTGAATTAATATTAAAATAGAATGCTTTGAAAGAAACTCCGCGTACTTCATTTTCTGTTGGCTTAATGGAATCTGTTCAATGTAATTTAGACTGTTAAAATAAGAAAAGTGTTCTTTGCCATCCTTTCAAAATGAGACAGATGCTTCAGTGGCCAATGTTGAGGAATGGCTGGAGGAGAAACTTTGATCCATGTTCGCTGAAAGCCATGTAAACCAGAGGGAAGCTGTGCTGGGGAGGACAGCTTTGTCAGCGCATGGATACCAGCGAGTGTGCCTAACCTTTGTCACTCTGTAAAGCTTTAACCTCATCATGAAAGTTCCCGATAGCAGCTGGGAGGATTGTTCTGCAGCCAATCAAATGGGCTCGGGATTTGTTAGCCTCAGTCAAATAAGCAAGAATTGGTATTTTGGCCTTCCCTTCAGAAGAGCCGCTTGCCAGAACTGATTGGCGCTGCTGCTGGAGCCTCGCACACCGTGTTTTAAGAAAGCTTATGTAAATTAGGGACTTTCTATCCTCCGAGTCCATGGTGTCTTGCTATTAGGATGCATGACATCAGGGCTGGGCCTTGCAGAGTTGTGTTACTTGTCATTAAGTGTTTCCAGAACAAAGAGAAGGTGGCCCACGCTCTGTTTCAGGTATGGGTTTCAGCCGTTGTATTAACAGGCCCGTTCATCACTTTATCAGCCTGAATCTGTTGAGTTTCTTGGCGCTTTTCACTTGGACCTCAGATTTCTGAACTTCCATGTTACCACGTGTGTCCTTTGGTATTTGCTAAAGTGAGGAACATCATCTGCCATACTCAGAGTTGCTTTTTGCTTCTGATCACCTCCAGAAGTGCAGTAATCTCCCCAAAGTGTTTCACTTTCACTGCATCGTACTTCTTAAAATTACTTTCGGCTTGAGCTAAAAGCTAACCCCAAAGACATCAATCAGGTAGTGAGGCAGTGTTTATTTTTGTAGAATCATCTGGATGTGCCCTTGTCTTTTTTTGCTGTGATGGAAAGTAAATTCAAGGAAATGGGATCTGCTGGTTTTGAGTTCTTGGGTGAAGTTTTGAACCTGCTATTGACACAGAGTATGTGGGTGCAACAGGTTACTGGGTTTTTCTTCTAAGGTTGTTTTGTTGGAGAACAACTACTCTGAAAACTGAGAAGGGAAATGTGCGTGTGTTCTCTCACACTGAATTATTTCTAGTTCTTCTTTCTGTTTCCAGCTATGTTTTTCTGCTAAGATTAATGGAAGAAGGGAAACTGAGTTGCTGTGTGGATTAAATCAGTTGTGCCTGGGGGATTTTGAATCCCAAAGAGGGCCTTGCAAAAATTGTGAGCGTTGTTTTGCCATCTGCAATGATTGCCTTGCAACTCTGCAGTGTTTGGATGCTTTTTGTTACTGAATTTGGGCTTGTCCTTGTAGCAAATAGCTTTGGAGCTAGGTGTGACCTTTGCAGAGGAATTATCTCTAAAGCTTTTGCAACTGCTTCCTTATCCTTCTGCTTTATGTTTGAGGCCTGGTCGTAAGCCACTCCTTAATTTCAGAATCCAGGAGGCTGGCCCCTGAAATATCAAACTTCCTTATTTGTGAATTTGTGAGATACGAGCTGGGGTTAATGGCTTTTGCCTTTTAAATTCAAGCAAATGGTGTGAGTGAAGTGGACTTCAATGGTCATTCAACGTCTGGAGCAACCTGTATTGGTTGCTTGTAGGGTGTTAGGAGTTCTTGGGAGGACAATTTTTGCAAAAGCAAAATATGTCTGTATGGGAGGAGTTAATTTGGTCCCCGTAGAACGAAAGCCATTACAATGCTTGTCCTCTGTGCTGCTTCTGGATTGTTAGATCCTTACCCAAATGCCTTTGAGCTTCTGAACAGCTCTCAAAGGGACCTTGGAGGGTGCCATCTTTTGCTGTAGGAATAATAAGTGTTTATTTTAACCTCCTTGGTTACAATTTTAATCAAATTATTAGCGTACATTGATGTGTGTGAGATGTAGGAAACTCATGGGGAAATGGGGTAGTACTTGGGTAAGTTCAGGAGGAATCCTGGCATAGCACAGGTGATGCTTGGTTAGTATAGATGTCACTAATTCAGTGAGTCGTTAGTTTCCTCTCCTTGAAATGTGTTTTTTTTACCTTCCTTTCTAGGAAGGGGTCTGGAGGAGGGAAAATTGCCCTTTCTGGTGAAAGGGGACTGGAGCATTATGACAGTCAAGTCTTTAAAAGCTTATGAGTTCCCAGAGTCCTTGACGGATAGCCGCTTCCTCTGCTGATGTTGTCGGATGCCAACAAAGAGAGGTTGAAGGCAACACTTCTAATGGAGGTAGAAATGAAATACTTGGAAAATACCAAGGATTTTCCTGTTTTGTTTAATGAAAAATCACATAGGTCCTTAATAGCTGGTTAGACTCTTGAGACGTGGAACTCTAGAAAAATCACTAAATTCACCTGTATTGTCTGACTTGACTTCTAAAGCATCTTTTGATTTATTTTTCCTCACACGAGTGTTCTGGTCTCTTCAGCAGGTAACATCGAAAGGTGCTGGCTTAAACCCGAACGCCAAAGTGTGGCAAGAAGTACCCCAAGGGAGCGGTGAGGCGGTGCCGCCGACAAATGGCGCAGAGCACTCGTGGCAAGAAACAGCGGCTGCACAGGGGACTCATCCCGAGGGTGAGCTGTTGCGGGCCCGTGTTTAAATCAGCCATGATACGTCCCCTGATGGGTTTGCTGCAGCTTCTCAAAGAGTTCAGCAGTGAGACACAACCTCCTGCTCTTTTCTTTGAGCTTATAGAGGTGATAGGTCTGACTGGTGAGCTTTGGTTTAGGGATTCAAGGAAGTGTTCAGAGCTGCGCTATGACAGAGCACTTCTGCAGGTAACAGGATCCATGGGGCGGCCCGGTGATGACTGAGTAACGCGCTAAGAGGGAGATGATGCTAAACGTGTAGAAATGGATTCGTGACTTGTTCACCATTGCTGCACTTTAGTAGACACTCAACCCTGTGAACAGGAAGATAAGGTCTGAGGGCCTCCTACAATCCTGGCAGATCACTGAGGGACTGCTGAGAACCGTTGGATGGTAGCGTTTGTACTGGAGTAGAGGCTACAAAGCATCTCTGGTTGCTATCTCCCCATTTTCCATCCTTACCACATAGCAAAGCCTGTCGTCCAAAACTAAGTGTTCAAATGGTTTGACTCTTCTGATTTGGCTAAGAGTTGAAGCTAATTGTATAGCTGAGGTTACTCAAAATACAGCAGGAGCACAAGGTTCCCTGGAAAAAGGATTGGGAAAAGTTAGGGATAAAGAAGGGAGGATTCTCTTTGTGTGGCCCTGTCAAATGTTTCTGGTAGTCAGCAGAAGTGGAGTGAGAGAGGACTGAGTTTGTGCATTGGCTGAAACTTGTTTGTCTCTGCATAACAAAGTGAAGCAATCACGGCAGTGTTATGCTGCTGGAAAATTAAAGGCCTTTTTTCCAAATACGGTGTTCTTGCTTTTAAGCAATTTCTGATGTGAGTAGCTGGATAGTGTTTCTTCTTAAAGTATGATTTCAGTGTGGAAAAGACCTAGCAGAGCAGTTGAGTTTTTGGAACAATCTGTCTGACTGTTAGATTAAACTGAAATTCCATTTGTTTCTATCATGGGATTTACTTCTTGGAGAGGCAGAAAGTGCTATCCAATACTAAGTAGATGCTGAAGGTCTCAGAAACATGGGCTGAGGCCAGACACTTTCAGTTACGGTATTCTTGAGTATTTGTTTGAATGTTGGTAGTTAAAATTGTTCAAATGGAAAATATTCTGAAGTTTACAGTAGGTTTTCTGTTGCTGATGTGTTCTTTTGCCAGGTAACATAGAGATTTCAGAAGATAGCTGCAAGCAATATGAAGTGATGTATTCCCCATCTTGTGAAGCCTCAAGAAATGGCACAGGAGTTGATGAAGCATCTGCAAATGGCATTGTCCTTGCAACTGAAGATCTTGGATACCAAATCTATGAAGTGTCTGGTGAGTATTCGAGTTAGAACACCGCTCTCAGTAATCCTCTGAAGTCTGCTGCGGTTCTGATGCCACTTGTAAATCCCGAGTAGGAACTTTGAAATACACCATTCCAGAGTATCCAAGCCAGAGGTAGCACTTGGCCAAGGAGGTGAAAACCATGAGATCCGAGTCATTTTGAGAATGTGTAGTGTGATGGTCTTTAAGCACGTCTCAGCTGACCTTTTCCTCTTGGTCTTACCCAGAAGGATTAGTTATTTTGTTGTACAATGAAACATCTTCTTGCATCGTATTCTTGCCGTGAAACTGAGACCTGATGATGCATGTGGTGACTTTTAGGTGAAGGCGGCTCCACTGTGTCCACAGAAGACATTAGAGAATGTTTGAAAAAACAGCTTGAATTCTGCTTCTCACGGTACGGTACAGTGAATTCAACTTTGTATAAGCCCTTTATTAAAATACTTGACTAGTTTTTCCCCTGTTTTGGCTTGATATGTGTTACCATCTTCATAAAAATGTTAACGATGAGTTAGAGTTGGTTGTGATCTGAGAGAAGATTTGCTAAAATGCTGTAGAAACCCTGTGGTACCTTTTGAGCTGGTTCGGTCCTGTCTGTGCATCCTTGTCTTTTAATGAGAACTGGGAATGACTTTTACAGCTGTGAAGCACAAGACGCTGAGATCATTTAGTTGTGTATTACCAGAAAAGGTCTTGTTGGCAAGATCCATTTTGGAGCCTAACATGCAGAGCACTGTACTTTTAATTAAGTTTTTAAATTATCTTCTGCTTTGTGTTGATCTGCTAGGATTTTTTCCAGGAGAGAAAAATCTGAGTACATTTTGGCTAGAGTTAGCTGTGAATGGTATTGGTGAATATCGAAGTCTGCGGTTATCCTGTTGTTTTGAAAATACAGACCAGGATTTTTATAAATTAGTGAACTTCTGTCTTTCTAGTGAGAATCTTTCAAAGGATCTCTACTTGATGTCGCAAATGGATAGCGATCAGTTTGTTCCAATATGGACAGTTGCCAACATGGAAGGTATTAAGAAGCTGACAACTGATATGGACCTTATTCTTGAAGTCTTGAGATGTAAGTCTGGGTGTTTGGTGTCTGTGTTAGAACAAAGAACACTTCCTTGCTCTAGAGAAATCTCTTCAAGTCTTTATTCTGACTTGAGTTCTGAACTTCTCCTATTAGGACCCTGTCTAGGAGTGTTTTTATATCCTCTTGCTTGAATATGAGCTGAGAGTGAGCTTTTTCAATACCTGAGCTGTAGGTGGAGGCCACATCATAGAAACAGCTCAAACATACTGAAGATCTAACAGGCTGTGGCTGATAAAACAGTCCTTTATCCCGAATTAAAGAAATCTGGTTTCTTAAGCAGTGCATCACAGTTCTTTTTTAGAAGTTGGGTAACAGAGTCTAGCACTGCTGAGATGTTTTGCAGTGCACGATGTCCAATATTAATCCAGTTTTTGTGTCTTCATTTTAGCTTCTCCTATGGTACAAGTGGATGAGAGAGGGGAGAAAGTCAGACCAAACCACAAACGATGTATTATCATCCTCCGCGAGATCCCCGAAACAACACCTGTAGAGGTAAATAAACAGGAAAGAAAGACATAAAAGGCTGTTGATGTTTTATTTGGGAGGTATCTTCAACAGTGCTTCAGACAGGAAACATTGCTTAAAAGGTCACCTGGTATTTAATTTGATTAAACACAGATATTGTTCTTGTACACTATGTAAGTGATTTTTTTCTGCCTGGATGTATTGTCAAAAAAGCCAAAGCAAAAACTTGTTGTCATTGCCCCTTCCCGTTATTTACTAATATATTACAATCCTCTTAAGTAAAGTTTTTCTTCCACCAAAAATCGAGCTAGCTAGGCTTTTCTGGAAGGAAGCTTGAACTGGTCTCTTCTCAGATCCAAAAATAAAATCAGTCCAGGGCATAGTTTGGAATTCAGGCTGAATTTTTGTCACAGCGGTAACTTTACTTGAAGTCAGACGGTTGTTTTGGCAGCAAGTAGTGTTACTAAACATTTCTCATTCATTGTGACCCAGTGTGAGCTGAGCTCATTATGTTCAGAGAAGGGAGGATAATAAAATTCCTACTGATATTTGGCTAACAGCGTGATTTAGTTCTTTATTTTTTTAAAGTTGTAACACAGGGTGTTTGTCTACTAGAATTTTTAATTAGTTCTTTTAATGCAAACGCTGAACAGCTTCTTTGCCTTCTCTTTAAAATCAGATTATTGGAAAGCTCTCAGGTTGCCTTGATTTAGAAATATTTCTTAGATTCGTTCTTGTCTAGATGACTCTTCTGATCTATAGCTATGTTTTTGCTACCTCTTTCATACAGAGGTACCAGTTCTACACAGAGCTTGATTTTCTTATCACATGGGTCTTATACTTTTTGTCTGGGGAGCTCAGTATTTGGGGTGGTGTTCTTAGGTTCAGAAACAGGTAAAGGATAATTCAGAGTTGGGCAAACCTGTCGAGGGAATGAAACAAGATCCCTGGTCAAGGGAAAAGTGCAGCTGAGGAGCTGGAGTGTAAACTTTTTATTGGTTTAGTGTTGAATTTACAGCTTAGGGCTGGGTCCCCTTAACTCCTCGACTTTTTCTCTCCCCTAGGAGGTTAAGGCTCTGTTTAAAAATGAAAACTGCCCCAAAGTGATAAGCTGTGAGTTTGCTCACAACAACAACTGGTACGTTACATTCCAGTCGGATACAGACGCACAACAGGTAAGGCTGCCTTCAGCTGGTAACAGCAGCTTAATTTTGTTATTAATACTTCCTCTACTCGGGAGAATTGCACACATGCTTCCTGCAGCTAAAAGAAATGTTTGTGCACTGATCCCTCTTTTATTATTTTAAAAGGTTATTGGCAAGTTCCAGTTAATAGAGAAAAAAGCTGAGAGATTATAGGGTTATAATTCCCTGGTCTGCCTCTTGCCTCAGTACTCTCTGGCCATAACTGACACCTCATATCCTGAAGTGTTAATTAATTTAGCTGGGCTAACAAGGAAGCATATTTCTACACACTCATGTTAAATCTTGTAATATCCTTTGAGAAGTACAATTCTTATCAAGATATTCTAATGTTAATCTTTTTTTTTGTATCTGCAGGCGTTTAAATACTTAAGGGAAGAAGTGAAAACCTTTCAGGGCAAGCCAGTAATGGTAAGGCTGCTTTATATGAGGTTTCTGTTTGAATGATAGTGTGCATTTATGGGAGGAACTAAGGAAGCAGTAGTGAGATAGTTTGTTAACACTCGCTCTGTAGGCTGTTAACTTGAATAAGGTCATGGGTAGCTTTGAAAAATTGTGGTTCAGTGGCTGCTGGTTATTGACAGTGCTGCTTCCCATGAGGTGTGGAATACATTCCTGTTTTGTCTTTCCTTCTCCACCTTCCCCAGAATCTGGGTCTGCAGAGCGCAGGAGGGGGACTCTGGCCATCGGGAGTCTCCAGCCTTAGTTAGCTGCTCTACTATGAGGCTGTTTGTGCCATGGGGGGAACTGTCAAAATTGGAGTCTGGACAGTTACTCCTGTGGAAAGCAGGGTTTATCTGAACCTGGACAGGTTCTCCAGCTAAAGCAGCGTGTGCATCCTTCCCTTTAGCAATCTGTATTGATTTTATCAGAATTTTTATTTGTGAGCAGTAATCAACCTCCTTCCTCTTCTCACCCCTTCTGTTAGCATTTCAGCAGGCAAGAAAGGTTTCATCTTCTGCTGCTTCTTTTCTCTCAGCTAACGTATGCGATGTGATTTGGTATCTTGCAGGCAAGGATAAAAGCCATCAACACATTTTTTGCTAAGAATGGTTACCGGGTAGTGGATTCCAGTGTCTACACTCAGCCAGTTCAAACACAAGCACAGTTTGCCTCCCCACTGTTTATGCAGCCTGTATATAGTCCTCAGCAGTACTCTATCTACAGCATTGTGCCTCAGACGTGGTCTCCAAATCCTGCACCTTACTTTGAAACACCGCTGGTAAGAAACGGCTGATGAGAATGAGGGGAGGTAGCCTAAAACATCTGTAATAATGTGGTTAACAAATCGATAGGGTTAGGGGGCTTTTCAGTTGTACCATACAGAGATTTTCTGTCAGATCCCTCTGTTTTAAGATACTTCGCGTTACATCGTGGACCTGACAAAGCAAGACTGGCAGAGAGGCTGTGTGTCTCGCTATTTATTTCTCAAGAAATTTTGGTGTGAAATTCCATTATTCGGTAGCTGGAGTTACTGGGAAAGCTTTGTAGCCCTTCCAGGAATGAGGGGACTCTGATGCTAAAGTAGATGAGCAGACTGTTGTTAAACCTGGTGGGGTTTTCTCTTCAGTAGTAAGTTTACAACATACTGGATAGTAGTGTGAAAGTACAGCCAGCCTAGAGGAGCGGCTGCCAAAGCTGATCTTGTAAAACTGCAAACGTTTTTCTTTCTAGTTCAGCCACTGAGACTGTTCTGTCTGTTGCAGGCCCCCTTTCCTAATGGTGGATTTGTGAATGGCTTTAATACACCAGGATCGTATAAAACAAACGCTGCTTCTTTGAGTATAGGTCGCCCATTCCATAGAAATCGGTAAGAAAGCCCTGTCAGTTGTTTGAGAACATGCACTACTGAGATCCTGAAGTGTTCCTTGCACTTGTAAAATGCAGTGCTCTCCGATGGCACGAGATTGCTTACTTTGTTTATCAAATATGTATGATGGTTTTCAACTTGATTTATAAGATGGAAATCAAGGTGACAGCTTAAGATCCTAAAATAGTGGCCATATGTGCTGGAGAGAGCAAAGGTAACTCCTTTAGCAGCCTCAGAGGAATTTCTGCAGACAAATAAATAACTTCCTCTTAAGGTAATACTTCTAATTATGTTTGTTATACGCAGATTATAAACTCCCGCACCACAAACGTAAGCTTTTCCTGTTGTGTGATTAGTCTTGCAGAGAGCCATTCAGTTCATGCAGCCGAGAGTTGCATGCCCTGAGTGCCGTACGCTAAAACTGCTTGATGCTGAGTCTGTTCCTATAATTTATTTGCTTTATCCCCATCTTGTAAGGAATCAGATATAAACACTGGGGAGGAGGAAACAGCTTTATGTTTGCTGGAACTAAACTCGAAATACAATGGAGTAGTAATCCGTTTGTGTGGGTGGAAATTGTTTTATTTGCAAGCTCTTTGGCTGTGTTCAGCATGCAGGCTGGTAGCATGGGAATTGCTTTTTAGACCGTTTGAGAAATGGGTTGACGACTGCCAGTGCCGTAAGTGGTTTTGTGATGCGGTTCAGGTTTGTGGCTGTTGGCAGAAGGTGAACTTTGGAATTCGGTCTGCGGTGACTCAGCAGACTTCCAATGCAGGCTGTGAAGCTGGGAGTATGACTTTAATGGAAGTTGGGGCAGCTGGTTCAGTTACAGCTGCTCAGCTCCCAGCTTTTCATAAAAGGGTTATTTATTTATTTTTTTGCCTTAAATTATGCCCAAATTTAAAGCCTGCAAAACTCTGATGTGTATGGATCTTCTGAGAAGTCTGGATGCTGAAACTGTACAAGAATTGTATGTACCCAAACATTAACATCTTGACATGCCCACGTATTCACTGCTGTAGAAAACATCTGTATAATCCTTAAGCTTTTAAAAAGTTATGTGAAGACTTTCATTTGGGAAACTCGAGTTGTTGTGAAGTTACAGCTTCAGAGGCAAGTGTGTACAGGTTCTACTGGTCTGTCTTGGTTGTCCTATCTTTCCTGCTAATCGTGCTCAACCTTTGTGCTAGTGCAAAGCTCTGGTTTTGTGGTAATAAATCTCCATTTTCTGGAAGCAGACGTTACTGATGGATTCCTTTGCAGACAAGACACCGCTAAGGTAACAGCGAGGCACAGCCTCGAAGCTCTGGCCCAGTGATGATCAAGTATCGCGCTAAGAGAGAACAGGTCACCAGTCGACTGTCTGGGCAGCCTGCACTGCATGCTTTTCCTTCTTTTTGCTCTCTCCCATCATCTCTCCTTCTCTCCGCCTTTTTTCTTCCTTTTTTTTCCTCCTCTTTTCTGCTTTGCTCTTCTGCCCAGACAAGACTGTGGCCTTCTCGATGACGGGTAAGATTATGAGATCTGAGGGCTGAGTAATGGCTTAAGAATCTTCCAGTTTAAGAACAAATGGAACAAAAAGTATTTATTTAGCTTACCTCCTCACCCCTGTGGTCTTTTGAAACAGGTTCTTAATGTTTCTTGAATTAATCTTTGTTCAGAGTTTCTTCTGTTGAACTGCAGAAGAGTTCATTGGGAGAGGTTCATCCAGCTGCTGCTTTGGGGTTTCTGTCCTGGCTCATTAACCTTGATTTGTTTTGTCATACAGGCAGTTAATAGTTAAGTATTGGATTTTTCGCTTTAGCTAAACATTTGTTTAAGCCCATCATATTTATTTTGCCCTGATTTGTTGCAACATCCTTGTGGGAAAAGAAGATTGAGTCTTTGTAACAGAGGCTCCTCAGTGTTCGTATTGGTTAACTCAATATTTTCCTATCCAGCCATCCGAAAGGTAATTTAAAATGTCATTGGTAAAGCAGAATAATTTGAATTGGCTCAGGTCTCCAGATCACGGTCAATACCCTGTGCCTGTGCTGCAGGCCCAAAGAAATGAAGAATCCCTCTTTGGGTTCTTCTTTCTCTTCTGCCACCTCTAAGGTTCTGGGGGTTTGTTGGTTGGTTTGGTTTTCGGGATGTTTTTTGGGTTTTTTTTCCACCCTTTGGTATCTGTTGAGCGGTGATCTCTGTTTTCTTCAAATGGCAACACTCAAGAGGGAACATTGCAATAAAACTAGAACAAAATGAGTGGATGGAGGTAAAGAACAACAATTTCTTTGTTCTTAAGAAATGTTTTGTAGGAAACAACTTCTCTGATGGAGTCCCAGTACTTGCTGACCTCCTCCTTTCTTGTCAGCAATGAATTACCTGTAGTTGGTTGTAGTTCTGTGTCCTGTTCTTTCAACTCTGGAGCTCACAGCTGCTGCTCTGTCCCGCAGCGTGAAGCCGCACTTCCGATCGTCGAGCAGCTCCGAACACCCTGCGGAGGGTCCAGCCGCCGTCGGCACCGTGCCACTGGGGGACGGGCCGCTGAGCAGAACCAACTCCAGGAGTTTTGTTATGGAGCGACACAGCAGTCCCTTAACTGGGCAGCAAGACCAAGGTTATTCCCAGAAGGATTCTCCCACCGCACAGATGGAGCAGAATGGAGATTATGGCATTGGCAGGGGCAGGTAAAGAACTGTGTGTGCTCTGTGTGTGCTGCTTTTTTGCTGGGTCACAACAGTGCAGTTGGGATGCGGTGCTGAAGGTTCAAATGACTTACATGAGCCAAGGATCATCAGCTGTTGGCACAAGAAGTCTTTCTGTAAAGACAGACCAGGAGAAAACCGACATTTAAATAAACCAGGCATGAATACTTAACTGGGAGCGTGAATGCTTCCTGCTTGACTGTACAGCTTGTAGTTATTCTGACAAACAGTGAGATAGTCAGGTGTCTTTATTTCAAAATAAGTGATTTGTCCCCAGAATTTAAACAGTTGCTGATGTAAAGTTGGTATTTGCATCACTATAAATAAGAAGTAAATCCTGGGTTGGGGAATTTGACGCTCCTAAACACTGTAAGATCAACTGATTTTATCTTGTCTGTTAATTCAGGGTTTAGACACTTTTAAAAATAAGTGACCAGGAGATACATGTGAGAAATCAGATGAATAAGTTTATTATTATAAAATTATAGGATACTGTTCTAGAATATTATAGTCTAATTGTCACTGTACTTGCTCAGATACAGTGCTCTCGGGTACCTCCTCCATGGGGAGAGAAAAAAACTGTCCCGTATGGGCTATGTTCCAAGAATGTAGGAGCTTTGACCCCCTCCTGAAGATGGAGAACATCCCAGAGCTGTATCTTGAGAAACATCAGCAGGCTGCTGCGAATCCCCTGCCACAGGCTCCCCTTTGTGCAGACGAGAGCGCACTTCAGCCAGATGAATGCACTCACTGACTGTTTTTTGCCTTTAAAGGAGGAACGTTTTCAGAGGTCGGAGGAGACGAGAAGATGACCGCGTTTCAGTAAGTTCCACTTCCCGTATTGCGAGGAGTTGCTCAAAGTGCAATGTGTTGGCTTTGCATTTATTGAGGGATGCCGCAGTCCTTACATGCTCAAGTTACATTGGTGGATATTTGGTGTTTCTAGGAAATTCCCTGACCCTTGCTCAATGCTTTTAATGCTGTTACAGCTCTATTAACTGGCATTTTCCTTCTCTAGAGACCTCAGCCTTCAGCAGAAACAAAGACTCAGACACCAAAGTTTGACTTGCTAGCATCAAATTTCCCACCTTTGCCTGGCAGCACAGCAAAAATACCAGGAGAGCCTGTGCTGGAGAGCAGGATGTCCGATATCGTTAAAGGAGTCTGCAAAGAAAAGGTAGCGGCTGTTGTCACTAGCACGCACACAGCAGTGTGCCTACACATTAAAAACCAGTTTATGGTAGAGCTGCACATCAGAATGCTTTAAGCACAAGCATCACACCATGTTTGTTAATACAGCAGTGCATTTTTTGTGTTTCTGTTCTTGGTTTTCCTTGGCTTTTGACAGGTATTTAGCTGAAGCTTTGGTAGTCAAACTGTTGTTAGCTTGGTGCTGTTTTGGAATAAAGCAGGGAAATGAGGAGTGTTGGCTGTTGAAACAGGAACAGTCTGTGTGTTGTGTAGGCAAAGGCTGGTTCCAGATGGGTCTGTTGTCTGAGCTGGTGGGACTAGGCATTGATAACCTGGGTGCTGTAGCCTTACTTCTTGTTTTATTCACTATTGTTTTACCCATATAAAGAGCGATTACTTTAGAGATGATGCTCCAAAAGAAGCAGAATTCCCGTAATCAGGCCTTTGGAAATACCCTACTTTTCAGATGTCTTGAACTGGCATACTGAGGAGCAATTTAAACACATCTGTGATCTTTCCATATTTCACAACTTTCTGTACAGGAAAGCAAAGATTTGCTGCCCACTTGTCCAGCTCCTGCTCAGGAAGAACAGACGCACAGCACTGTGCAGCAGCCTGTGACAAGCGTGAGTTCACCAAGTCAGACTGAAGCCGTGGTGTTAAGGTATGATGGCAATAATGCTTGTTGTGTCTTTTCCGTCTGTGGTGGGCAGCTTCTCTAGAGGTCACTAGATAGAAATAAATCATGGTGGTAATGGCTGTACCATCGTGGTCTGCAAAAAAACCCACAGTTGTAACTTCAAAGAAAGAAAATACTTTCTCAAACATTAATTCCTGTGTAAGTTTTAATGCTAAATTGTTCTTGATTTAGCAGCACGGTTCAGCCAGACAGCAAACCAGAAGAAGTGTCCGCTCAGAAAGACGTTACAAGCCAGGCTTCCCCACCAGTGTCTGTGTCTCCTGTCAGTGCTGCAAAGCCACCGAGGACAAATGCCACTTCACCCCCTGCCAGCGCGAGTGCAGCTCCTGCTTTGTTGGCGCAGGTAAGGCCCAGAGCGCAGAGCGGGTGGGGAGTGTGGGGAGCTTTCTCTTGGACGTGTTGATGGAGCAGCTGGGACCTGTTCTTGTGCAGTTTGCCACAGCTGTGGCTCGATTGCTGGCTGTACAAGCCCTTGCTGTTGTGCCGTGGCGTGGTGGTTCTGCTGTGTAAACCTTGCTCTTCTCCCTTGGTCCCAAAGGAGCCGCGCAAGCTGAGTTACGCCGAAGTTTGCCAGAAGCCCCCTAAGGAGCCTCCTCCAGTTCCTGTTCAGCCTCTTAGGGAACATCGCACCAACATAGTGTCCCCTGCCAAAAATGAAGAAAACGGCGCACCTGAGAAGGCTCCGGAGAAGGCTCATGACAAGGTTGAAGGTCGAATGAAGGATTATTCCGGGTTCCGAGGCAATGGGCCTCCCCGGGGAGCCGCTGGGAAAATCAGGGAACAGAGGCGCCAATTTGGACGCAGATCATCGCCTCAGGGAGCACCGCGACGCGTCGGCAAGGAGCAGTACGTGCCACCCCGGTCACCAAAGTAACACTTGTCCAGCCAATTATTCTCTATTTAATTTGAGCTGTGGACTAATAAACAGCAAAGGAAACTGTGAGAGAGGAGTATTCATGAAGGGGAATACTGAACTGGAGCGTGGCTTGTGTGGAGAAGTTGTGGAGGGTCCCAAAATTCATCTCTAAAAGTGATTTCACAAATGCTGGAGGATTCCAATCAATATAAATATAGAGATTATAATTTTTGTATTTTTGTTTTTAATTTGCAGAGGGTTTCCTGCTTGAAATCAGTTTTGGGGTTGTGAAACTAGCATTTTGACAAAGTGAGAGAATATGGATTGACAAATTAACCTGTCCCTCAGCGTAGGAGGAAAAGGATAAGAGAATATTATTTTTGAAAAATGAGCGTTTCTGTAAAATTAGAACTTTTTTTAACCTATTTAACATTTGGCTTGTCGGATGATGTGTCTGCCATCGATGGCCTTGCATTGCGGAGCACGTCTGCGGCCGAGGTGCTTGGTCGGCGTGAGTGGAATGAGTGCAGCCAGATACTGTTGTCATGACTTAGTCACTGATGATAAAAACTGAATGTACTACTGTAGTAAACTTTGTGTTTCCAGCTTGAAGTATAGTCTCTTGACCTTACGAATAAACCATTCAGTGAGCTTTTTAAATGATAATTTTTTCAGGATGCTGGATTGTAGATCAGAGCACGTGGAGAGCAAAAATGGTCTTCTAGACGCGAGTGGAAGGAGGCAGAAGGGAGCACGGCAGAGTTTTTAGTTTGCCCTTTTTCCTCGCCTCCTTTTGAGAGCAACTTCTTAGGTTTGAGGTTTTTTTCTTGCTTGTTACTTTCTCTAACCTCTTTATTACAGACTTTAGTGCATTTCTCTTGGTGAGTGTTCCCGGGGCAGGCCCAGTGTGGGATTGGTGGACGGCTGCACATTACTCAATGGTAAATTCACACATACAGAGCCTGGAGTTCCAGTTGCAGATGGGAGCTCTGGGCGTGCAGTTGTGCCCAGATGGCTCAAACCGATGTCTCCTTGGCTCGCAAACCAGACACATCCTGGGTTTTCAATGGACTGCCCTGTCTCTGTGTTCTGAAGTGGGGTTTTGGATGCTGGATACCAGAAATGGGGATTTCTGCCTCCTGAGAACTCGTTTACAGCTGATAAGGAGCGACTGACGTTTCTGAACTGTTTAAAGGTAGAGAGTTAAACAAAACTCATGTCCAGAGAGGCTACTTGAAAGGCAGCATCTTGCCTAGCTGTATGCTGGCTGAATTTGCAACACTAGTGTGTAGTAAGTGGTTAAGTTTAAAGGTGATTACAGTAAGGACCGAAATAGGGAAATTCAGTGCGTTAATCTGCCAAAATCAGCATGCCAGGGTTCAAAGTTCTGTATAAAGTGTTAGGGAGAAGTAGCTTCCAGCAGTAAGAATCACACCTTTTTTTTTCTTCTTTTTTTTCTTTTTTTTAGTGAATAGCAAGTGTACAAATTTAAAGTCGTAAGTTGTGAACACTGGAAAACTCAATTGTGCTATATACCGTAAACATCTTAGTAATATATGCTAGTGTTGCCATTAGAATGAATGTAAGTGGCAGTTAAATAACTGTGAAAATTTTCATCCTCTGATTTCTTAGCCAGATAACCCTTGGCGGCTTCTTACTCAGTAGGCATTTCTCTATCAACTGCTTTGAGAACACTCATATCTATTTTTATAAATATATATATAAAGCCAGAGTTGTCATTTCTCTAACTTATTATTCAGCTTGGCGATTGCTTTGATTTGATTCATAACACGATATAATGTATTTATGCAGTTAACTGTTCATTTCTAAGCATGTTATATATATATACATATATATATAAAAAAAAAAAGCAACCAAAATCATTATTCACTTTTAAACTACCTGTACTGGGTTTGGGAGGTTTTTTTTAATTTAGTGAAAAAAAAGAAATCGTTGATCACATCTGCAGTTTAGGGACGCTTACAGAACCCTTCTCCATTTATTTCGATAACGCTACATTTGTTGGAACGATAGAGAAGTTGAACTATTTAAATTGTTTTAAGTTCTGAAACGCGATTAATTCAAAGTTAATTTTTAATTCTTTTAAAGGCTATAAACAGTCGAACTGGAAAAAAAACCGAAGCTGCGTGATAGTCACAGATATTTAGGGTAGGTGTGCGCTGTCATCGCAACCTTGGGTAAGCGTTGGGGTGCCGGTGGCTGCCGTACGCTGTTTGCTGTGCAGAGGAAGAGGTTTTTGGGAAGCGGCTCGTGCAGGTGTTGACCTCTGGCCTCCGTGGGGAGGGCGTTTAATCCTGACCCACGCGGTGCGTAGAATAACCTTGTAGTGCTGAAAGTAGCTGGATTTGAACAGTTGTGAAATGTAACTTCTTTATTAGATGTGGGAGGACACAATAACTGCAGTTGGATCTTTTTTGGAAGGTTGTAGGAAAACCTTGCAGGTGGAAAGGATGCTCTGCGTGTCCTGGGTGCGCGTTGGCAGCAGCAGATAACGGCTCTTGTACAGTGTGTGCACATAGGTCTGTAAACCTGTCGGCTTTTTCCAGCGTATTCCAACTTTGCTCAGAATTATTTATTTAATCCCTGCGTGCAAGGATTTAACATTAGCGTTTCCCTTCTCCCCCTTCCCCCGCTGCCATTTCGAACTGTGGGGTTTGGGTGGGTTTTTTTTTTTCCTTTCTATTCTTTAGTGTGTGGGGGAAATAACCAAGTAAATCTAAAGGCTGTGAAACCCGCACTTGTGTGCGTGAGTTCCCCGCAGTCCCTGTAGCGCACGGCAAACGCGGAAGGTGGACAGGCGAGCTACCACGTCCTTGTCCCCATAACTCGGGCAGGCTGTTGTGTCTCTGCCCTCCCAGTTTGCCTTGTTCTGCCAGACTGGGGGAAATGGGGACAGCGCTGGGGAGCCGGACGACTGCTGGTACAACCCTGTGCTGCTGTGGAGCTGTGTGAGCAGAGCAGGAACTGTCCCTTCTCAGCAGCGATGCTCCATTCGGTGGCGCTTGAAGGTGACAGTAGCGGTTCTCTGTGGTCCCTCGGTCGCTGGCCCGTGCCACGTAAAGGCAAATTTTCCTGCTCTGCTGCTGTTAAATAGCAGAAGGTGCGAATCCCACCAGACTTTTGGTGTTATGAACTGTGACTTGTTTTCAGGATTGGTGACTTTGTTAGCTGCAGAAGTAGAATTTTCCCCAGTCCAGCTCTTTTCCACATTGTGCGTGGAAAAGATTTGGGCCGCTCTCTTGTACTTCTGCTGGGGAGTGAAAAGAGGAGTAACTATTTGCATGTGATAATAAAATGAAAAGTGCAAAAAGGCTTTATTTTTTTTTCCTTTTGATTTCTGAAATTAAGTTAGTTTTATAGTATCTTACATTCCT